TCTTTATTTGGCAGTGCTGAATCGGAGATTGCTGTAAAAGTGTGCGTCTTAATTATTTTGGAGACTTTTCTCCCCAAAGGTTTGTGAACACCTGGAGTGTTTTTAGTGGGATGCCGGATCCAGATGGGCGGATGCTCGGGCGATCCACAGGGAAATGTCAGTTACATTACAGCGGAGTGTGTCGTCACACAAAGGGTTAAATAAAAAAAGGAAAGAAAGGAGATGCATCTGATTCATTCGGATGCGTGAACACAGTCTGTTGTTCAGTCAATGAAAGAAGTAACTGGCTGCTTTAATGTGCCTGATATCAATTAAAAGACATGTGATCATTAGTGTGTAATGACAGTGGTATCAAATACATATTGACTTTTAAACGGATTTGACATAAAAAAATCAAAAGCTTAAATGTGGTTTACACTTTTTTTGTTCAACATATTTGATCATTAAATACATAAAATAATAATAAATATATAAAAATACATAGAAGGAGCAAAGTATTTAAAATCCCGATTAGGATTAACAAAATAAAATACAAATCCACAGAGCAGGTCTGTCTGTTCAAACAAGGGATTTACTGTTTATCAGTTATTAACATTAATATCATTGACTAGAATGGAGCTCTTTGTTTTCTTATATTATCTACTTCAATATTCAAATATTTAATTGATATTGTGCCACCACATCATTATTATTTAGACTTATCTCATACAATACAAGAAAATCCACTAATATTTACTGTTTTGAGAGTTAGGGATTGTGTGCATTATTTTGTGATATTAAAACTGTTGATGCTTTTCACTGCTTGATGCAGCCTAATGTCTCTTATAATTACTTTTATTTGTCATCCTCAGCACAGCAAATGCTCCTCCTGGGCCAAGGAGTGAACGGGATGAGAAAAGACGGGGAATCCGCCGTTTGGAATCATCACAAACAAAGTTTCCGTGGTGAGTCACTGACAGTAAATGCATGCCCACAACTTGTGAAATTAATACAACTTTCAGATGCAGTCATACGCATCCCCTAACCAAGCATCATAAACCGAGCATTAGCTGGTAAAGGATATGTAAATTCATACCAGGTCTCAGACGAGACAAACTGCACAGTTCAGCTTCTCTTTGATGCAATCATTTCATGCAAAAGCCCGGCTGTTGATAAGTTTCAGACTAAAAGGGCATGAAGTAAAACACAATAGTAGCAGGCTGAGGAGTAGAAAGACTTAGTTTATTCTTGCCCGACTCTGAGAAATGATGCAACAGGGAGTACACATGCCTTAAATTAAATGGAAGGAGGAAAAAAAAAATCACAGCAATGTATTCAATTAATTTTCCAGGAATCTTTCAAGTTGCATTACAACGAGCAGTGATTTTTATTGTAAGAATGCACATCAACTGACATGGACAATCTCACTGGCATCCTCCTTTTTCAATTAATCAGTTATCCAATCAACAACAAAAAAAAAATCTGGAAGGGGGAAGCGTTTTTCAAAGGAAACACAGCCTTCCACATAACAAGAAGCTGAAGTCAGACCTAAGTGTGTTTTGAGGAAGAGGATGCAGCCTGCGGAGGAGTCCAACTGAGTTACAAAGGCAAATAATATTAAAGCCCCACAAACACCAAAACCTGACCTTGACATCAAATTTCACAACGTGTATAAAAGGTCTCATAGCAGTTTAAACAGCGTTACTCTCCATATATATACACACACACACACACACACACACACACACACACATCCATGGCTGTGAATTAAATCCTACATTACATTGACATAAGTTCTATGCAGGCTGCATGCTCTGCGCGTGTCATGCATGTCAGATTGGTGATGCCTCGCTTTCATGCAACAAGTTCTCCGTGTTATCATGAGTTAATACACTGAAGATCGCATCTACTGTAAGGCTAAATGTTTGTTTCATCAACTGTCTGCCAAAAGCATCTCGTTTAAACACAATAACAACTGCAAAGCGACTGTATAAACCGTTATATGTGTAGATGATGATACACAATAAAATAAATAAATAAATAAATAAATAAAAGTCACACTCAGAAGTGCCAATTCTAGCATGCACCGAGATTAAGTGTAAAAACCAAACCGCTTAACAATCACATCCGCATGAAACACGCTCGGCTGACTGCCTACAGACTCGTAGAATAATAAATCTGTTAAAAGCTTTCCTTTCTCAACAAACCCCCGATGGTGATTCGCAGCACTCTCCATCTATGAAGTCAGCATACCTGCAGGAAACCGAGCTACAAGACGAATTCTGGATTTTTTTTTTTCTTTTCTTTTCTTTTCTTTTCTTTTTTTAAAAAAAGAAGAAAAAGAAAAAGAAAAGAAACTCTGTCACATCAACCTGTCCGCATGGGCCTAATTAAGATGTCGGTCTGTGTGCTGTACATGTAGGGTCTGTGTGTTAAATGCGACGAGAGGCAACGGAACGATACATGGCCTCGGTCATGGAATATAAATTAGTTCTGAGAATCTCGGGGGCTGGGTTTAAGGAACTGGTGACGTCGCCGGGCTCGACGTCCTGTGACTGTGGACTCAACCATCTGCAGGGGGGTTCGGATCACTATGAAACAATTTCCCGCGTTATTTTATAAGATTATACATCTTTTCTCACCAATTTAGACACTGTATCCACGCTGGGTTTACTGTAAAAATCACTACGCGTAATTCTTGTTGGAATAACTGCTTTAGAAATAAGTTGTTTTGACCTCAGGGGAAAAAAACGTCTCTCCCCTGCCCCGGGAAAGTGGTACGGTCTCGGGCTCAAATTCCGAGAATTGAGCTCGTCTGATTCTTAGAACTGGGGTTCTTAGAAGTGGTGATGCAAGAAGTTTCTAGGAAAGCGCTACCAGGTGATTTTTTAAATTCCCTTTTTCCTCTAATTTGGCGCGAAGTTGTTATCTACTATGTATTGTTGATGTTTTAGACATAGCTATTTGTCCATTTGTGCTGTTTAAGTGTCTGTGGAGCCGGGGCTGTGTGTTGTGACTGTGGCTGCTGGCAGTTGAAACAGTGTAGAGTCGAAACTCTGGAGTGGCTCCTGTAGTGACAGGCGGCGCGCTGCTCTCTTGACAGATCACCAGCCTCGGCGCTGCGCTGTTAGAGCCGGTCGCCTGGAACCAGCGGGACAGGCGTACAAGCAGGCAGCAGGCAGCAGCAGCAGCAGCAGCAGCAGCAGCAGCGGCAGCCGCCTGTCTCCGCTGTAGCTTGCACACACCGCACTGACTGACACCGAGTCATGTTGTAAAGCTGTAATAACGCTCGGGTTGGGTAGAGACACACCGAGGGAGATGAGGATTTTTTTTTTTTTTTTTTTTTTTTTGAGCGCCGTCCAGAGCCCGGCTTCTAGTAGCTACACACGGTTGCTCGGGTGGATGTAGTTGGCCGAGTTAACGGTGTCAGTGCAGCCTCGGCTTTGAATGTCCCCCCCCCCTCCCCTTCCCCTTTGATTTAATGCTACTTTGTACGTTCAAGTGTCAACACACAGTTTGGCGGCGGCGCGCTGTCAGACGAAGTTTTGTCGGCAGCATGGCAGCCTCAGGTTCAGGACATTTACACTTGGCGGCCGCCGCGACGGCAATTTGCTCTAATGGAGCGCGAAAGGCTGCGCCGAACGAGCCCTTCAGTTACCGTAACATTGTAGCGGAAATATTTGTGTTGGTGTGTGACTGTGTGTGTGCGTGTTTCCGCGGTAGAGGCTACGAGACACGTCGTCGGATCAAGTTGTCTCTGATGTTTCCACTGTGGCAGTGTGCTGCACGAGAACCAAGTTGAAAGGTTTCGCTGTGAGATGCGCACAGAGTTCAGGCTTCGGCTTTCTGCAGATCGTTGCCTCAGTTTGTGTCTCAGTCGCGGGGCTCAGAGCCTCAGAGGAGACGGTGTTTTGTGCTCAGGAGCTGTTACTGAGTAGATCTGTCAGATACATTCAGGACCTTCATTTATGTTGACAGAAACGTGTTCTGTCATTTTAATTTAAATATTAAAGCCGATTGACTCAAGTAATACATATGTAGCACTCAGAATACATTTTCTGAAAATAATGTAAATAATTTTGTTTACATCACTGGTTGTCATTATTTACCACCTTGTGATCAGAGGATATCGGTGTATTTGGGCTGCATTCTGTCCTGGGTCTATTTTCGGACGTGTCCAGTTACAGACTTGAGTTAAAGTTACTGTCTGTCTTGAGTTAATTATTAGTTTTCCCTCCTAGGAATGCAAAAACATAACTTATTGGCAAAGAAGAATTGGATAGAGAGCGCTGCTGGGCTTCACAGCAGCACGCTGTCACAGCTTTTGTTACAGCAAACTATCAAAACTGTTACTTGTACAGAATTACCCGGGTTGTTGTTAAAGATTCAGTCATCTTGCGGTTGAAATTGAAATTCATAGTTTGGATGTTATTTGTATGACAACAAAGTTTTCAGCAAAGTGAGCCGCCCACCGATTTGATTTTTTCCCCCTTATTTTATCAGCCAGTTGATAATGAAGTGAAACTCCGCGCTGAGAGCAAAGACACACTGAACTTTTCTCCGCTATGTTAAAGTCAGAGAAATGTGCAGCGTTTGTACTCGTTTTGACACATGATGGATAAAACCGCAAATTAATTCTAAAGAATCCTCAGGAAAAATAATGCTGCTTGGTTTTAAACACGAGGTGTTTAATTTAATTTATGTTAAGATGTATATCTATATCTGTCTATCCACAGATATATGTGGATAAAATGTAGGTAAGACCGTTATTACAGAAGTATATCATGAATACCGTTGTCTGTTCCAGTCAATTACAATGTGCTAAAAAAATTTCATTCATCTAAATGTATGAATTTAATTTGTTATATTGTCATATTAACCTGTCAACCACTGGTTGAGAAAGTGAGGGTAAAGAAATGATTTCAAAGGTGGAAATTTAAATGTCTAGACAGTGTTTATTTAATAAATGGCGCCGCCTTCTGGTCAAAAGGCGGTAACTGTTGCTTAGTCGACCACATTGATAAAGACCTTTTGAGGATCATAAATAATTTCAGCCCACTTCATTTACTTCAAGATTAGCTGTACGTCAGCCTTCATGTGGAGGGGTGAGTTGTTGCGTAGCAGTAAAATAAACCCACCCAGGCACGTGTTTGTTAAATAATCCTCATGTTTTCTTTCTGTTTGCAGAACTTGACAAAATGGCTTGCGCAGCAGACAGCTGCATACAGTTCACACGCCATGCAAGTGATGTTCTGCTCAACCTGAATCGGCTGCGTAACAGAGATATTCTCACAGATGTCACTATCTTGGTTAACAGACAGCAGTTTCGTGCACACAAGACCGTTCTCATGGCTTGCAGGTGCGTGTCGTTTAAGCCAAGTTATATGAGCCAGTTCTTCTGCTTCTGTTTGAAGAAATGATTGATCTTTGTTCTTTGCTCTGTCTGTATTTCTTTTTCATGACTGCAGTGGGCTGTTTTACACCATCTTTACTGACTCCCACAAGTGCAACCTTAATGCTATCAGTCTGGACCCAAAGGTGGACCCCGAGGGCTTTGCCATCCTGCTGGAGTTTATGTACACCTCCCGTCTCACACTAAAGGAAAGTCTGATCATGGCTATCATGAATACAGCCATCTACTTGCAGATGGACCATGTTGTGGACACCTGCCACCGATTCATCAAATCCAGGTTGGTACAAAGTTCATCTGCACGTCAGTAGAAATCCATCACTAGCATGTGCACGTTGTGACTTTCTCATTGTCTTCACAGTGATCCATCTGCCAAGCTGCCCAGAGATGAGTTTTTGGTCAGTCCCTTGGTTTTACCTCAGGAAGTCCATGCGTACCGGCCCCATGATGTTGTTGACAGTTTGCACAGCCGTGTAGCTCCATTTAGGGATGGCAGGCCCTACGGCTCAAACATGTTCAGCGGGGTCAGCACCCCCAGCAACTACCATCTCTACGGGCAGTTTCCCATGCCAGGATTCCCTTTCCCTCTCTGCAAGCTGACTGATGCCAAAAACGCTTTTGCTGACCTCTCTAAGAGTGGTATCCACCACAAGCATTGTTCGCCGCATGACAGCGCCAACACCATCAGGGCAGAATACACCAGGGCAGTTGGCACTAGCTCCTCCAGCATTATTCACTCCACAACCTACGCTTCCAGGGAGGTAGGGAGAGACGATGAGATAAGGAAGGAAAGCCACGAGGGGGTCAGCCAGTCTATCGGTCTCGGCACAAGGAAGCGCACGTTTCCTGTGTTAACCCTCGAGCACCAGAAAGACTCGGGCAAAGAACACGCTCCTCAGGCGGAGGAAGACCTGATCCATCAGCACTACCCACTGGGAATCTCCTCTGCCGGACGCAAGAGCCTCATGAGCAGCCCGCAGAGCCCCCTCAAATCAGACTGCCAGCCCAACTCCCCAACAGAGTCCAGCAGTAGCAAGAACGCTGGCCTGTCCCAAGCCGCTGGAGTGCAAGCCCCGCAAGGTACGCAAGACCCCAAAGCTCGCAACTGGAAGAAGTACAAGTTCATCGTGCTGAATCAGAGCGCTAAGGAAGACGAGGTGGGGCTGCGGGATCCAGGGCTTCGTTCACCTCAGCGCCTTGGCCTGCAACCCTACCTCCACCCCAGTGACTCGGAGAACCTCGACCCCCAAACCACAAGCAAGAGCAACGATCACAGTGAGGACCTGCCTGTGCCCCAGGCCAGTCGTCTCAACAACATCATTAACAGGTGAGTGTTTTATGTTTTTTTTTCTTCCCAAACACACAGCTGCATATTTGGTTTATGTGCGAAACAGGAAAATCAAAGTTTGAATGTTTTTGTGGAACGTGCTGGGAGGATTTTGAGGTAGCGTAGGAACACATCATATGAGAGGAGGATTTTACGGCCAGTGGTTTTTTGGCCTTTTTATAGTTTTGTCCTCTATAATCCAGTAATCCGGTGCGATTCAGAAAGGTGACCTCTCGTCTTGAAACAAATCAGTGTTGCATTGAAATTCACTGTTCAGAATTCATTTGGGAACTTAATTTTGGAATTACACCCGACTTGAAGTATTTGTATTTGCTATATCTAATTTTAAACATTTATTTACGTCAATCATCTGAAGTGGAGTATTTGTTTTTTTTTTGTTTTTTTTATCTACAGTGCACTTGAGGGGTCGCTGAGGAACGGTGACAGCCACCCTCCACACTACCTGAGCCGCCTCAACTGCTCATCCTGCGGCTCCCAGTCCCCACAGCACTCTGAAGTCTGTCCCAACACCCCCAGGTCGCGTTTAGCAGAAGACATGGCAGAGCTCCACTCAGAGTACTCGGACTCCAGCTGTGGTGAGTTTGTGACTGATATTGAATCTCTGTGATGAATCCAAAATCGAAAACCCATCATGCATTATTTAGAACTGGAGGTGAACCCTTTATGATTTGCCCCCCCACCCCCATCCCCCAGAAAACGGCACATTCTTCTGTAACGAATGTGACTCCAAGTTTGCTGAAGACGAAGCGCTGAAACAACACATGCTTCAAGTGCACAGCGACAAGCCATACAAGTGTGACCGCTGCCAGGCTGCTTTCCGCTACAAGGGCAACCTTGCCAGCCACAAGACTGTCCACACAGGTACAAAAAGAAAAAACCGTGCTACCATCAAATAAACTTCCTTAATCAAAGAGAATCGCTTATCTACTCTTTGCTGCTGAATCCTCAAGTGTTTTTCTTTCATTTCTTATTTTCAGGAGAGAAGCCGTATCGCTGTAATATCTGTGGTGCTCAGTTTAACAGACCAGCTAACCTCAAGACTCACACACGCATCCACTCAGGAGAGAAGCCATACAAATGTGAGACGTGTGGAGCTCGTTTTGTACAGGTAATAACACCCACAACGTACATAATATCTATATATATATATATATATATATATATATAAAATATTTGCTCTCTCTATTACATGCGGTTAAATCACACATAAATATATCTCTTATCAGTAATTATGGGTGGGTATATTTATTTTCAGCCTTACAGAAATACCCATTATTACAGTGAAGAACATCCTTATGGGTGTTTTGGGTTTTATACATTAGATACCAACACGTGCGCAGTCTTAAAAAAAGTTTCATCAACATGTTTATTTATTTTTTTTGTTCACGTTTCAGGTCGCTCATCTCCGTGCCCATGTGTTGATCCACACGGGTGAGAAGCCATACCCGTGCGAGATCTGTGGGACACGCTTCCGTCACCTGCAGACGTTGAAGAGCCACCTACGCATACACACAGGAGAGAAGCCCTACCATGTAAGCTGACATACTGCATTTCGTTAATACGGCCTCCTTTGGGGGGGGGATAAAAAAAAATGTAAGATGTTACAAGATTGTGAAATGTCTTAGAAAGTAACGTTGCTTCGCTTTTCTTTTTCCAGTGTGAGAAATGCAACTTGCACTTCCGCCACAAGAGTCAGCTACGGTTACATCTTCGACAGAAGCACGGCGCCATCACTAACACAAAGATCCAATACCGCATGTCCACGGCTGACATGCCCACTGACTTGACGAAGGCATGCTGAGCTGGAAGAAGGGAACAGTTTTATCGGAGGCAATCTTGACCTTGGCATTTAAAGACCCCAACTTGTACAATCATCCAAAATTGTAGTGCCACACTGTGTTCATTAGACAAATAAATTGGCTGCGTATGCCATTCTAAACGGGTTTCCACTACATGTGAACGTAGAGCCACATATGGCATCTTAGTCACTTTATTGTTTCTATATACAGTAGATATATAAATATATATAAATGTATGTATGTGGGGAGTGTTTCTAAGCTTTGAAGGTACGTATATAAAGCTTTATTTTGTTGAGAAGGATGGAATGTAAACAGTCTGTTTTTTGAAAAATACAGTATTTTATATCAGAGAACTTACTTTTCTGGAAGTATTGAAAATTTTGATTGACGGGTGGTACATATATTTTAAGATAATGGGATTTACGGCTGCATAGAGCTGTCTATACATTTTTATGTAGATGTACGTACATGTTGCACCATGTCAAGTTGCCATATTCGTGCAAAAGGGAAGAAAAAAAAAAAAAAAGAAGTCAACATGACATTGTAATTGGATTTAGTCTAAAAGATACCAGATGACTGCTGCTGTCTGATGAGGATATGCATGAGGTACTCTCTTACTGTCGCCAGTTGTCCGCGTACATGAAGTGGGCAACTGCATAAATATTGTGATATATTGTGTAATTATATCTGTGGGATTGCTCTCTGCTGGCAGAGCCAATCTAAGTGTTGAAATGCATTTCAAGGTACTGCTTTGTTAAGACCGAGAAAATATTTTGCTTCAAACGTATTTGTATATATGTGACTGACTTTGGTTTTTGTTAATTTGTTTTTAATAAGTGAAGGTTTACAGTTTTGGTCATTGTTCTAGATCCTACAGTAAAGTCGTGTACGTGTCAAGGTTTTTGTTTGTACATACACTGTGTATTCAATGTGCCTTTCTCTATGGTGACTGAATTCCTCTCCATTCAGCCCAGCTCTATTAAGGTACAACTCAAGGACACCACTTGTCCTAATTCCCTGTGTGGATGTGTGTGAATGTGCGTACGTGCGTGTGTGTGTGTGTGTGTATATATTTTTAAATGCTTGTCACCAACCTTAAAACATGCAAATTCATCATTGTAAATCTTCAGGACTTGTTTTTGGATTGGGCTTTTTTAAACTGCATTAAAATTATTGTACAATGTTATAGATGTATGAATGTAAAATAAAGGTATTGGATTTCTATGTATTAACACCGGAGTGATCTCTTTTCATTTTAAATGAGTTTTGTCATATGCAAGTTTCACTATTTTCACCTAGATGCAACAAAAGAAACATAACCTGTAGATCAAATATAGAATGATATATAACCCTTAAATAAACATATTTATACAGTAAAAACGTAAAGGCTTTTTGACCTGCAGGCACTTTGGACCTTTACTGACAGAAGGATCATAATTTTGACATTAAATTATCTGTATCCGCAAAACAGCGACTACAAAGAGATGTGCTGTAAAATAAAGCACCTATAGAGCTCGAGTTCCTTTGATGTTGACCAAAACTGAATCCCAGCAAGACTGTCATGTTCCTCCGCTCGCTCATAAAAAGAGCCGTAAATACTGCAGCGACAGGAAGAACACTTCCCCACACACATGCATGTCTTTACTGTTTACACTGAATGTACACACGTACACTGACCAAATACAGTGTTTCACACTTCCTGATCATCATCTTGTTCCACAAAACTACTGATAAAGAGCTACTAAAAACCATCCACACTTTCAGTTCTTTGTAACCTGTGGCGGCCACAAGTGACCGTTATGGGATGATGTTTAATGGTTTAATGGCAGCACAAGTAGAGAACACTGAGTGATGTATGTGATTACACAGTGATATCCATCTAAAGTTTGCTAACATTAGTAAAGTTGTCTCTATAGGCCAGTGGTCATACCAGACCAAGTAAGGCTGTAGCAGCTTAATGCCTGAGTCATGGTGTGTCTTATTGCTAATGTTGTTGTTGCTAATATTGCTTCTTGTTCTTCCAGCTTTAAAAAGTTACATAGTCAAGCTTTTAAATGATCCTATGGGGAAACAACGGGACAGAGAAGAGAAGTGTGATGAAGCAAAATGGTCGTTAGGATCGGGAGAAATATTCGTTACAAGACTTATAAGTACACGTATACTAATAACCCAGTGGTTCCATCACTTGTGTATTAAAAGCTAATCTCTTAAACATGTAACGCACATGTACGTGACAAACACTTCACAGTACATCTCTTACAACACACAGTCATGTCCTCACTATAGCCTCTCATGTTTTAGTTCCTCTCAGTATTATCATTTGGACGTCGTCATGGGATTTGAATCTTTATATCAACAAATGCAGTCAATTCATGGTAATAAGGCTAATTCAGTGTCTCCAATGATTTTAACCAAACAAAACTAAAATCTTTGAAAATTTTTAATGAAGAAACTACAAAAAATACCTATGACAAAAAACTTGGTCAAAATGTAAATAAAATAGCTTTTTATTTTGAAGTGGCATAAAAAAAATCCCAAAGTCATAATTTGCTGGTATTATGCAACAGAAACATTACAACAGATCTTGACCTCGACTTGGCTCAAAATTGCATTTATTTCTGATTCTTTTAAACCAAACAAAAAACAGTATCAAATGAAGCCTCCTATACGGCCTGTGAGGTAAAGAACATTTTTCATAATTACAGTTTGGTAAATTCCTGATTTCTAATGTTTGGAATGCAATTAAATTCTTGTGAAAGCACAGAGGCTAATAACCAAAACTGCTTAAGTACAAGAGCTGCACAGACTGTATCTTCTTTAAATGAAATTAACTCAAAAGTTAAACTACCCATTATCAACTGTCACAAAAACCCCACCCCACCACCCACCCACTCCGAACTAAACCCCATCCCGCAGGTAAATCACTGCTTCTGCTGCATCGCTTCTTTTCGCGCAGCGTCTTGCAGCAGCTGAGTGTCCACTTCATCTGCAGGTAGCTGAACGTACCGGACCACGGATCCACGGATGAAACAGTTTTTCACGGACAGCTGGAGCAAATTAAAACAAAATGTAGTTTGAAGACGACCAAAAGCGTTGCAGATGATTTGACTCAGCTCTCAGCAATACGAAATCTGTCCAATATTATTTTCACAGATGGCCGATGATGGGATTTGTATTTTTGTGATCTGAAGTGTCTCATTTATTGCAACTCTCAAATTAGAACCAGAACAGCTTCGTGGGTGTTTTGCTGACAATGGCTTTACTATCTCCTTTTTTGTCATATAATAATAATAATAATAATAATAATAACAACAAAAACAACAAATTTAACCTTTGTTTTTCTTCTGACCTCTTTAAAACCTAAAATGTATAAATGTATAGAGGTGGTCTTTTCTTTGCCACAAATTTGGCTCGCACATACGGAAATGACTGTGAAGCATTGGTATTAAAGCGTATAAAGAAATATTTCAAATTTTGTGTGTTACACCTGTTGCCATGCATAGAAAACACACTATATTTATTCTTTTTGGATGAAGTATAGATTCCACATGGAAAGTATGGACAGGCAGACACGGACCTTTGTGTCTGTATCCAACAGTTTATAAGTTTCCCATGGATGCTTACATGCACCGGTGTGGAGACTTGCAACACACAAATGTGTGTTCAAGTTTGTGTGTGTGTGTATACGCTTATTTGGGATTTGGAAAACACTATTGTTTAAATATATTTTACAGCTGAGACCCACAGTAATGCATATTGTCTGTAGCAGACTTCTGAAACGTCATCAGTTGAAAATCATATAAGCAATCCTCCTCATAAATAAACATCATGAAGTATCATGGTGATAAAACAGCATTAAGTATATCTTATGAGGTTATTGTAGACAGTAGCACCGTGCACAACTTCAAACACTTTAGCAATGTATAGGATGCATAGATACCTAAACTGAACAAACAGCCGGCACTCATAGATAAATAGTCTTCTTGTTCAATGTGACAGAAAGAACAAACCCGTTTCAGCTATAATCCATCATCGGCATGGCTTACAGCTGAAACGGGTTAAAATAGATGTGTGGCAAAATCTGAAGTGTGAAGACAGTGAATGAGCCAAACCTACCATGTGTGGATATTTCTCTGGATCTGTGACACTGATGTCTGTGAGCTTAATGTTCAGGTACTGAAACACACAAGCAGAGAGTAGAGATGTCAGAAGATCAGAGGTCACAACTCGGCAGTCAGACAGAAATTGTAAAAGCTGATTAGCTTTGTTTCAAAAGGAAAATTAACATTATTTCCGACCTGGTCAACAGAATGAAGTGTCCCACAGATGCTAAAAAAGGAGAAAGATGTTAGAACAAAATGATTTCAGGCAATGATAAACATGGATGTGGACAAAATAACAAGAATACTTTACAATAAACTACAAAACATCCCCACACCACAATAACTCTTGTTGTTTTGATTGTTTTCTGAGTCAATGACAGAGAGGGGGTAACCATACGTATGGTAATGTTGAGCATGTGTCATGTTGCATTTATTTGTCTCATATAATGTCAATTCAAAGCTGAAGTTGGAGCAGGAACTTTTCTAGCCTCTCTAGCTTCCATCGTTTACATTCCTCCTCCACTGCTACAAACAGCTAACGGTAGAACCGTTGTTGCAGCTAAATTATGGAAGCTAAAGCTACTAATGCCAACAGGTTACGAGCTTAAGTTGGGGGAGAAAAAAACTAACCTCAGGTCGTTTTTGAGCTCCACCACCACGTCCTTTCCCACCAGAGACTTGAAAAACGAGTAGAAAAGCTGAAAAACAGAGCGACGTGCTAACGTTAATGTTAGCGGCGGGCTAACTGTCGAGCATGATACAGGCTTGCTAACAGCTAGCAAGATAAAGCCCGTGAAGCCGATGCAGTGCGTTGTGGGTAATTCAACGGCTCACTGAAAGTTGAGACGAGACATTTAATGTGTGAATAAAAGACAAATTCACATACTCAAACTAATTTCTTACCATTATTGCTGTTGGTAATCTTGTGGTAGTGCGTCTGGTGTTGATGATGTATGAGGCTGCGTGGTATCGCTGCGACTGACCGGGGTGTAGTTACACAACGGCTCCATATGGGGGAGCCAGAGGTGCGTTCAAAGGTTCACAGGTGTGGAAAACACATCGTACCTGAGAAGGGTTTTTTTTATTGTAGCTCGTTAAGTGAATGGTCTGACCGTAAATCATTATCACTATGAGGTAAAACATGTGTCATAGTTTATCAGAGAATGAGTGGAATAACTCTCTATCTCTCTTTATGTGTTGGTCATGATTGATATCCCTTATTCTGAAGCATCTCTGCCGATCGACACCTGCTGGATTCACTAGATCAGTGGTTTGCAACCTTTTTCCAACCTGTGAACCCATTGAAATAAAGCAATTTCGACTTGTGACCCACTGTCAGTGGTTGCATATGTAAATTTTGGTAAACATTTGAAGACGCTAAATTATCCAGTAATTCACACATCAAAGAGAAAAGCTTAGAGGGTTATCTTACAAAAAAAAGACTTTATATTTTATGGTCAAATATTTTCTTTCATGCTGTGGCCCCTCAGATTTATCTTGTGACCCATTGAGGTATCCTGAACCCCAAGTTGGGAACCACTGCACTGCACTAGACAGTATTAATCTTTATGTAAAGAATATTGTTTAACATGTACACAGCCTACTTCCTCGTGTAACAGTGTGTGCAGCTCAACCTTACTCATATCTGACTGGGCAAAATAAAATAAGTAACATCAGGCACTGATGACTATTTTTTCAATACCATCAAGTAAAATGTCTCAAATGATAACATTTTTTTTTTACTGGCCTGGATAACGAATGGTATTTGCAGTCTGCATGCAGTACTTTAAAGCAACAGCAGATGGGAGCAAATGATGGTAATGTTACAGGGGCTCTGCCTATTTGAATACATTCCTACAAGCAATACAAGCCTGACATGAGGCTGTGAAAAAAAAAAGAAAAAAAAGAAAACTAGAAAAGACCCATTAAGCGTTAACATTTAAATTTATTGCAGCACTTATCATACATCTTCAAGGCAAACTTGTCAATGTCTGTGCAAGATAATACTGTGCGGTAAACATTCGTTAGCCATTGTATAGTGTAAAACTCTACATGAAATGAAACATAATTACTTAGTAGCAGAGTTCAATTTAATCCTATGTTGTAATGCGAGCTCAGCAGAAATCGGAAAATGGGTCTAATTTCACAGGAACAGTCCCACACTTAAGGGCTGCTTATTCACCGTCTTGCTAAATCTTAGATGAGAAGATTGATACCACATTCAATTTCTGCCTGTTAAATAAGGAACTACAGCCACTGGCAGGTTAGCTTAGCTTAGCATAAAGGTATTTGTATAGCTTGTGTTCCACTGTCTCCAGCCTTTATGCTAAGCTAAGTTAACTGACTGCTGGCTGTAGCTTCATATTGTAAAGAATTATAATCTCATCCAACTCTTAGCAAGAAAGAAAACAGGAGTATTTTCCAGAGTGTTGATAAATGATAACCACACATCAGTGTCACACACACACACACACACAGTAAGGGGAGTGACTGGCTGAAGACTTTTCTTTGTGTATTTTATGTTTCCAGAAATGCAGAGCAGGAAGCTGTACAGTCAGTGAGGACCAGCGCTGTAGCTTGATTTCACTTCACAGAGCGACCCATCTTGGGAACTTCAGGAAGTGCTAAAGAAAGACAAAGATTTTGGCATCATCATTCGTCTTACATTTGTCAGGAAATTTATGACAAAGAGCTATTCCTTACTGTCTTTGTGAGACTGTGATTGGCCAGGTCTCGCCGGCAGTCTGAGTTTGCCCGGGAGTTCGGAGCTGTCTCTGTAGTCTCTGGGTTTAGGGGTCTGGGGCTCCGGCATGCCTGGTCGGGCCTTAGCTGGTAAACGGGGCCGGTTCTGTGCCATCCCACCTTCTGAGCGTGAGGGCACCACTGGTTTCTTTTGAGCTGAGGGATGCGAGGTGCTGGGGGTTGGAGGCTGAGGTTTGGTCTCAGAGCAGGTGAAGGAGCGGTTGCGTGGGGTGGGCACCGGGGGGCGGTCAGGGTCTCCATCTGCTGGTTTGAGTGCAAAAAATGGATCTGGGGGTATGAGGTGGTCTTTCTGCTGGAGGTCTTGGTCCTTGCCTCTTCCATGGGACAGTCCCATTGAACCGTACAGCGGGTTGTCAAACATCTCTGACGACTTTCCATCCTCCCCCCTACAGAGACAAAGGATCGTGTTGGAAGAAATTCAGTTTCACTTTCTACTGAATCATGTCAGCTTCTGGTTTTATGTTATTTTTAGAGTGGTGTTTTCCTGAGCTCTGAGAGACTCAGCGAAACTGCAACTGAAGTCACACCGCACTAGAAACAAGCACTTACATGGGACAAGGTTTTCCTGTGGGGCTGCGTGTGCTCACATCAAAACCACCCTTCTTGGAGTCTTTACTCGCTTGCCCAATAGTGACATTTTTTGGTGGCATGCTGTAACTCCAGCCTTTATCCATCACATTCCCACTTTTGTAGGACATGTAATTCGGGTTAGAAATATCATGTGCTTGGGTGGTGGAACACCTGTCAACAAACAAACAACAAACACAAAATGTCACAGCAGGAAGTCGGGTTTGAGATAGTCTCAAGTAACCGCATGGAAGAAAAAAAAAAAACCCTCACTTGTTTTGGTCACCGCCTTTCCCTTTTGAGTTGACAGGGTCATCCCTTTCAACTTTGATGAAATCTGGAATCAGAGTAAAATGGGAATTGATGCTACAAGAACTGAAGTTGAATGTATTTAATAAGAAAGTCCTGAGCTGATTTCCAGACTCACCGTATAACTTCTCAGTGGGCTTGCCCTCAGAGGTTTGCAACTGAATGCCTCCTGTCAAGGTGCCCGTCTTCTCCCCGTGGTGAGTCAGTGTGACCTGAAACTCGGTGTAGCAGAACTCAGCAGCTCGCAGCGCAACACAGCCCTCACCTTTGGAAATGACACATCAGTACACTGTAAGTACCGCTCAGCTCGGCACAAGTGTATCACAAACTACATGCGAGCTCATTACCGTACGACTCGTCACAGTCTGTCGACTTCACACAGATGAGGATGTGCTGGTCCAGGAGGTACTCGGGGTCAGAGATGATGGGGGTGAGCTTGAAAAGATAGAGAGAGACAATGAACGCTGACGGCTCGATGCGTCATTGAGGCAAATTCAACACCAAAAATCTGCATCTTCACTTTACCACAACTTGGCTGCCGAACCAAACTTTTATGGAGCCGTCCGAGTGCTCTGTGTTATCTCCCTCTGAAGTCTTCACAGTTTCTGTAGACATTGAGAGAAATATCTGTTTTGATGATCTCAGCCTATTTTAAATCAAACTCCAATGAGATGAGGTCAATCAAAAGACCAAACTTACTCTCCAAGCAGCTGGAATGATATTCAATGAAGAACTTGGTCTTTGATTTTGTCGACAATATGGCCACACAGTTCATGATTTGTATCCCACCCTGAGGTGCACTGTTTGGATCTGAAAAGAGAAAAGAAAACAAAAAAACATTTACATCGTACTACAATTTTACAACAAGGAACATGAGCTCATGTGCAGTGAGGTGCAGCTGGTGAACATACCTTGCTTGGAGACAAACTGTGAAGCTACTCCAACTTCAAATGAGGCAAAGACTGGTGAGTGGTCACTTGTCATGATGTCATTAGTGCACCCTGCAAGTTGATTTCAAATAAGTTTGTCTCAGAAAATGTCATTAAAAACATTAACAAAAAATGTAGTTACACTTTATTTTAGTGATCCATACTTACACATAAAAATATTTTTTGGGACGTTTTATGGAAAGAACGATGTAATTTGGTGCTAATCGTACAAAGAATTTCCTCAAGAGATAATCTTCATTTAATCAAATACCTATTCTTTTTTATTTTTATAT